GCGTGTGTGCGTGTGCGTGTGTGTGTGTGTGTGTGTGTGTGTGTGTGTGTGTGTGTGCATGCGCGTGTGTGTGTGTGTGTGCGTGTGTGTGTGTGTATGTGTGTGTGTGTGTGTGCGTCTACGCCTCTTAGTCCTCTACAATTTGGAGCCAGGCGAAGGGCCTTGTAGAGCGGGGTGGGGCACTTCACGGCATTGGGTTCTCGGCCACAGGACCAGGTCGAGGATTGGGGCGCCTTTGCTCGGCCGTGGCCGAGGAAACGGCGGGACCTCCCGTGGGCCGCGCTCTGGCAGCACGCATTGCTGCTGCATGCTGCTGCTGCTGCTGCTGCTGCTGCATGATGCTGCTGCTGCTGCTGCTGCTGCTGCTGCTGCTGCTGCTGCTGCTGCTGCTGCTGCTGCTGCTTGTCAGGGATGAAGAGGTAAGGCCTTGGCATCGCTCAGACTTGTGCATTTTCTGTCGGCGAGGGCCATCGAGGAGCCTTTTAGGTCATCTTGCGAGAAAATACACGGGGAATGGACGTCCGGGCGATGGCGAGGGAGAGACGGCATAAACATGAACTGTTGGCGCTTCGCGCGGATTTCTGGATCTGCGTTGGGGCCACCTGGCGGCGCCTCTGGCGCCGCCCCTGGCGCGCTCCACCCGCCAGGAGGGGGGGTCCAGCTCAGATCCAAGAAATCCGCGCGGGCCGTCGAAAGTTTAGATGCTTCTGCCGTATTCCGTCGCCCTAGGAAAGGGAACGGGAAAGAGAGGGATTTGGAGAGAGAGTGGGCGGAGCCTCGCTCGAGGACAGAGGGGATAAGGAAGGGGAGCACGGTCGGACCGAGGTATAAGATCGAGGTCCACTCGGGGAGGGTACCCTGATGTCCTTCGTGTCTGTTGGATGTTTTTGTGCATCCAGGGGAGGGTACTCTCGAAGGTCCTTCGGTTTGGCCAGCGGGTGGTCTCGTGCGCTTGACGGATGCTCTTCTGTCCTAGGTCTGGCCGTACCGGGAAAAGGAGTGAAGGATATGAACAGCATCGTTCACCACCCACCAAACCACCCCAACCCAACCCGAAGGGTCAGATTTACCCTCGATTTCTAGTGGGGGGGGGTCCAGGAACATCGGAAAAACACATATGGAGTCCATACCCCCCCCAACCCGAAATTCGGGTCTTCGGGTTGGGTTGGGGTGGTCTGGTAGGTAGTCAATCGTCGGCGTGTGCCTAGAACGGCCGAGCAAGTTTTCCCATGTTGGCCTTGTCAACGAAGGGACGATGTACTTCTTTGAGCGGCACACGCGTCACGGATCCGAAGAAGAGGAGGAGGAGGAGGAGGAGGAGGAGGAGGACAAGGGGGGAGGAGGAGGAGGAGGAGGAGAAGGAGGAGGAGGAGCAGCAGCAGCAGGTTGATATGGAGACGGAGGCAACGGGGAGAGGAGAAGGGGGGTGAAGGAGGTGTGGGGTGCGGCACGAGCCTCGAGTGGCAAACTGTGGCCCTCCAAGTTGGTACTGCCAACGAGTCCGTAGACATGTTGGCTAAAGTTTAAGCCAGGCCCTGAGCCGTTTGGATTCGTCAGTCTGGTTCTGACACGGGCTCGCGTGGCGCACCAATGGAGCCGCCGCGGCCACGCCCATCGATGGCCCCGCACTTGCAGCTGCGCCGGGGAGGGTGCGTCGAAGGTGGGGATGGGCGGACGGTGCTGCTGCGCGGAGCCAACGCCGCGCCGACGACGAGGGCCCCTGCCCCCATTAGAGTTAAGTCGGGCCTGTCCCCCTGCAGGGGGACTTTCGGCGAAAAATATAAAATACCCTCCAAATAGTCAAAAAATAATCCAAACATAGTCTGGGGACTATGTTTTGTATTTGTTTTGTTGATTCGCTCTTTTGGGCTCGCTCGCACTTTCCCGAAAGGGCTCGATCCAGAGGATTGCGGATCACCGCAGGCGGAAGCGCGGGAAGCGAAATCTGGCGGGGCATTCCTTCAGTCAGTGTCAGTACCTACGCAAGGCGGTGAGGAGGCATGCACTCAGAACACGCCGCCCCACCGGTGACGGAGAAGCCAGCCTGGGAGCGGGGCTGACCGCATCCCGGCTAGTGTCCGCCCTCCTGGTCAGCCTCCGGAGCGGGGCTGACCGCATCCGCGAGGCTCGGCCTGCCCGACCGCCTCACAGAAGTCGTTGGCCTTCGATCCCGGCAGCGCCTTCGTGAGCATGTCTGCCGGATTGCTCTCCGTCGCAACCTTCAGTACTCTAAGATGTTTGGCTGCCACCCGCTCCTGGAGCCAGAGCATGCGCGTCTGGATGTGCCGGGTGTTCTTACCCACACCTCTGCGCGCGGCCACGGCCCTCGCGCTCGACGAGTCCGTGTACAGCAACAGCTGTAGCTGCAAGCCCCAGTCGGCCAGGTGGCTCTGAAGCCCCAAGCCTGAGCATCCACCCTTCGTGAGGGCGTAATACTCGCTCTCGGCACTGCTCAGCCCAATGACGTTCTGTACCGTGCTGCTGTGGCGCAACAGGTGCTTCCCACGCCGGAGGATGACACCTGTAGTGCTACGGCGCGAGACCGGGTCTCCTGCCCAGTCGCTGTCGACATGGACGATCACGTCGGCGCCGATCGGGTCCTGAGCCGCGTACTGCAGCGCTCTCCTCGGCACGCCCTTCAGGTAGCGTGCCAACCTCTTGAGCTGCACCATGTGGCCCGCTCGAGGCCGCGCCATGGCCTGGGACAAGCATTTGACGGACTCCGAAATGTCCACCCTGTCCTGGGACAGGTAGGCGCAGCGCATAGTCCCGCTGCGGAACCGTGTCGCCTCCTGGCCCTCGAGCGGGGCGCTCTTCTCGATGTCCTCCGCGTCCGTCGCCGTCAGCTTGACTCGCGGTGTCTTAACCGCGTTGGCTCCTTTGAGCCCGAGATCCTCCAGTAGCTGAGGAACATGGCGTTGATCGGCTTCGATCTCCATGAGGTCTGGTCCAACGACCCTGACCGTCCGGTGCAGCACCTCCAACTCCTTGTCCTGGTGCTCCTCCGTGCCGATCAGCCCGATCCGCCTCAACTCGAACTTCTCGCTCAACGTCTTCTCGAAAATGTCGATCTGGTCCTCCGCCGCCGCGACCATGAAGTCGTCTCCGTGGCAGAAACCCTTGAGGAAGTCCGAGCGGAACAATGCGGGGTTGCTAGCTCCCAGCGTGTAGCCCCTACTGCGAAGCTGTTCTCCCCACAACCGCTGCCAGGAGTTGCTCGCGTCCTGCGTGCCGTACATCGTCTTGTTGAGCTTGGCCACAAAGCCTGGGCGATGTAGCTCAGCCGGTGGCTGCACGTAGACGTCGCGCTCACACGTCCCGTAGAAATGAGCTCGAGAAACGTCGAAGACCGCAAGCGCCAACCTCCTTCCACGCTGGTCGAAGCGCTCAGTCATCACATGACTCACCAATGCCTTCAAGCTCTCGACCGGTGGCATGGCCGAGAAAACATCGCTCGGCTCCAACTTCTCTTCCTCCGTTTTGGCTCTTTTGATCTCACGAACCACTAGACGTGCCCTGACCTTGTCTCCCTTGTTCTTCAGAACCCACTTCAGCGAGTACGGGCGGCCTTGCCGCTCCTTGCACTCGCGCTCGGGCACGTAGTCGAAGAGGTTCTGCTTCAACACCCAGTCGATCTCCTCCTGCTTACCCTGCTTAACCTTGATCGGGTCCAGGAGGTTGCCCTGCTGGTCGTAGTCGTTCTCCTGCCACTCGCTCGTGTCCAGCTCCGGGAAGTCGGCCGTCGGCCCGGCCGAGTACAAGCTGATCCGATCCATCTTCCCGTCGTCCACGACCTGCTTCTTGAACTCGCGCAACACCTCCTTCACCAGCCTGGGCGGATACACCGCCGCCGCGGCCGCCCTCTGCTTGCCTAGCAGACGGACGTGCCGGTGCTCTCCTGGGCATCGGCCGGCCAGGAGTGCTGCGAGTCGCGGGCTGCTCGTCGCCCACTTGATCTCCTGCCGCACGTAGCCCTGCTTCCCGAAGTCGCCCTTCGTGACCATGCCCCAGCGGCACATTGGGCCCTGGACCACGTACGCTCGGCTGTCGCCGAGCAGCTCCTGCATCTCTGACATGTCCCAGCTCGCCGAGCCTGCAGGATGCTCATGCAAGAAGTGCTTCCCCATCTGCAGCTGGCGCTTGTACGCCTCAATGCACACGCGCACGTGCTTCCTGCCTTCCTCCCTCATCTCCTCAATCTCCTCCTTGGTCTTGGAATGTTGGAGCAATGCGGAGAAAGACGTGCACGGCGGGCTGCCGATGAGAAGATCTGGTCGATGCTCCTCCTGCATCGCCTCGAGCCTCCTCTGATCCTCCTCGTCTCCTAAATCCCAGAAGGCGTCGTCGTCGCGCTTGGCCGTCACGTCGATGAAGAAGCTCGGCTTCAACCCGTAGCTGGTGGCCTTGCTCGTGAACCTGTTGGGGCTGTAGGTCTCCGCGATGGCCGCCCCCGACAGTTCCGTCGCCACACGCGCTAACGACCAAACCTCCACGCTCGACAACCCTATTGCTGCCGCCGATCGTGCGATCTTAACCGCCACGCGCGGCACCAGCCAGCTTACTCGCGCTCATGTCGCTGTCTGCGGCGTCCGCCGCCTGAGCGTTCGGACCAGCCGGGCTGGCCATGGGAACATCCCCATCGATGTGGTCCGGCGCTGGAGCGGCGCTGACCGCATCCGTGCTCGGACCTGCGAGGATCACTCCAGAGCCCGAGCTGCTGCCTCCCTCCTGAACCTCAGGCGCCGTCGGAACGTTGCCCCTCGTCGCGTCGTCCGGCTCCCCAGCCGACCTCTTTAGCCCTCTAGGCTCCTCTACTCTCCTCTTGGGAGATGCTCTCACGGTTGCCTCGCTCCTCCTACGGGGAGAGCCTGGCGCCGTCGCCTCAGCGCCCGGCGCAGGAGCGGGGCTGACCGCGTCCCTCGCCCTGGCGCTACCTCTGGCTGCCGCGGGAGCGGGGCTGACCGCGTCCCTGGCAGCTGCCGCGGGAGCGGGGCCGACCGCGTCCCCGGCCCTGGCACCTACTCCTCCGGCTGGCGCGGGAGCGGGGCTAACCGCTTCCCCTGCCGGCGCCCCACTGCCGCCGGCCTGCGCTCTAGAATCTCGCCGAAGCCTATCCTGGTGCAGGCGATGCTGCACTCCAGCATCAGCATCTCGCGCCATAAGCTCGTCCATGCGCGACCTGCACTCGTCCGTGTGCCTCTGCTGCACTCTCTGCGCCCCCGACGCTAGATCGTTGCACGCCTGGCACCCTGGCGTCGGCCCATACCGCGCCACGTCCTGCCGAAGGATGTATCGCCGCCTCTGCTGCTGAGGCGCTGGCTCTCCCGCTGGAGCTACCACCACGGCCGCCGGTGCTGCCGCCAGCGCCGCCTCTGGCTCTTCTCCTTGAAGTTTCCAAGGCGTCCCTCGGCACTTCCTGATGTACTCGTTGTCCCACTGCTGGTCCGGCGTCTTCCGCTGAACCCTGGTACCTCTCAACAGACCTCGGTCTGACAGGAACAACGCAGCGCCTGTGCGCTCATGATGGCCCACGAATATGCCATCAAGCATCCTCTCCACGTCGCCTGCCGCTCGCGCCTCGCGCCGCGCCGCGACTGGATTAAATTTCGCCTTCTCGCCAAACTCGACCACTTGGCGCCTCCAGCGCCGCCCAGTGCGTCGCTGATCTGGCGTCCTGCCGTCTGCCTGTACCCTGTATCGCGACAAGCAGTTCGCCGCATGCCTGACCAACCACGTAGCCAGCGGCTCGGTCCACTCCAGTGGCCGGCCCAGCCTCTGCTCAAGATGGCTCTTCAGGACACTCGTCTGCGCCTTAACTTCGCGAACGGCTACCTCTGCTAGCCCGTTCGCCGCGTGATCCCCTTCTGGGCACGCCTGCTCTATCACCTCCACGCCCTCCAGGTTCATGGCCGCTGCCCTCAGGAGCGAAAGCAAAGCCCGCTCATTGTCGGACCTCATGATAAGACGCTTCCACCCTAAGCTACGTAGCCAACCAACGATGAAGGAGAGCGCGTAAGCATCCACGCCCTTCGCTGGCACCTGGGTAGCCGCCAGGCACCCTGTGCGCTTGCATTTGCAACACAGTAGCGTCACCTGCGAGCCTTCTGGGCCCACGTACGCGTAGTCTGCCCCAACCTCCGGAAGCTCACCCTCAGGAGCTCCAGCATGGGGCGCCGCACGCCCGCGTCCGCTGACGCAGTGCTCGCACCACGATCTGAAGGCTGCATGGCCTGTCGCGTAGTGCTCCTCCTCCTCAGCCTGCGATGGCTTCGGAGGCACCAGTGGCATTCTCGGTGCTACAGCCTCCTCACCACCATCGGGAGGCGCACCCTCCGGGCTTACGGCATCGCCTGCCGGCGGCCCCCCGACGGAGGCGCAGATCCCGAGGATGGGCTGGCATCCCCCAAAATCGCGCCCGCAGGCGCTCCCGGGACGTCCACCTCCATGTCGTTCGGACTCACGTCGATGGTGTCGTCGCCGCCGCTGGTGCCGTTCGGAGTGCCCGTCTCCACCTGCACGTAGAGGTTGTAGACACCTCGCTTCTTGTTCAGCTCGATAACGCCGTCCCAAGAGTACTTGCTGAAGACGGCCCGCATCTCGTCGAGGATCGGCGAGCCGCGCTGGAAGATGTAGCCCGCGTCGCCGTCCAGCCACACTGCGTGGCCCTTGTCCGTCACGTCCCCGACGCTCAGGAGCGGCTTGTGGACGGAAGTCTTTTCGCCCACCATCTGGAGATTATGACCCCAAGCATCCACCCCTCGTATCTTGAACCTGCCCTGGCCCTCAACCAGCTCACCAGTGGCAGTCCGGTAAGTCCTGCCCGATAATCCAGGAGCGCGCTCGCCAGCGTAGTCGGCGTCAGCCGGCCAAACCGTGCCTCCCGCTCCAGTGTCCACGTTGATGGCAACCCACTTCACGTGGGATGGCGCGCGCGCGGCGGGAGCGGGGCTGACCGCATCCCAAGCCGCGCACAAGTCCACCGTGCTCACGGCAACGGAGGGCTCAGGTGGTGCTGGCCACGGAGTTGCCGATATCGTCGTAGGTCCAGCGGCGAGCTGGTTCCAGCTCGCCGCCGCCGGTGAGTCCCAGGAGTCCCACTCCAGCGCACCGGCATCCCTGGACTTGTACTTGCCCTTACCTTTGCCCTTGTTGTCATTGCTCTTGCCCTTGCTGCTCTGCTGCTGGTGGTGTTGGTGCTGCTGCTGCTGCTGCTGCTGCTGCCACTGCTGCGGCTTGCTCCAGCAGTCCTTACTGATATGGCCCGACTTCCCGCAGCTCCAGCACTGCTTGAGGTTCAACTGCTGCTTCTGTCCTGCTCCTGCTCCTGCTTGTCCTCCTCCTTGCTGATTGTACTTCCCCTTGCCGTCCTTGCCTTTGTCTTTGCCTTTGCTCTTGCCTCATTTCGGGGCGCCCTTGTTGAACTGGCCCACGTCCATCGGGTCGTCCTTCCTGCTCTCCTGCGGCCTCCCTACCTGGCCTAGCTTGGGCGCGACATAGCCCCGCGCCTCGGCGTACAGGATCACCTCCTCGCGCAACTTCGCGTAGGTGTCCAGCCGGGCCCTCTGAAGCTGGCAGTGCTTCTCGAGGTCCTCTGGGAGCAGCGCCTCTAACGCCGCCATCCTGATGTCCTCTGCAAGGTGGTGGCGTTCGCCGGTCCGCGCGTCGCGCCGGAGGGCGTACCGGCGCATCAGATCCTCCAGGCGCTCGACGGCTCCCTGGAGCTCGGCGAGCTTCGCTCGCCCTGGAGATAGGATCTCCCGGAGCAAGCCTCTCGCCCGCCCGGTGGTCAGGGGATCCCACCGGCGATGGAGCCTCCTCCATGACTCCAGTCCTTCTCCTGACCCTGCTCCTACTATGATGTCGAAGCTCTCGCCCTCCACCAGGCTCATCAGCACCGTGTAGAGCTGCTCCGACAACTCCTGCGCGGTGGCCTCCTCCATGTCCAGGTCGCCGCTCGCCGCCACGGTGGCTGCAGAGGCCGCCGTCCCCGGGTCGAGCTCCACGGCCCACGCTAGAACCTCGCGGGCGCCGGGGAAGACGCTCGCCACGAAGTTCTCCGTCCGCCGGGCCCACGCCACGAACTCCTGCTCGGAGTTCTTGAGCGGCAGGGGCCTGCCTAGCCCCTTCGTGTCGATGAGGCTGCCTCGAGCCCTCGAGTGCTGGCTCGCCGCCGCCTCCACTGCGGCGGAGACCGTGCCCGGCAGCGCGGCAAGCGCCTGCGGCAGCCCGGCCAGAGCGGCGACCAGGTCCTGCTGCTGCGCCGCCTGCTGCTGCATCGCCCCCATCGCCTGGTTCAGGCGCTGGTTCTGTGCCCGGAGCTCCGCGAGCTCCGCGCGGATCTCTGCCTCCGCCATCTCGATGGCTCAAGCCCTGTTGCTCCCCAACTCGGGCGTCTGTACCCCGCAGTTCGCGCTTCAGCCTTCGTGCTGCCGAGCGCCCGCCCCTCGCCTGGGGCATACACGGCCAGGCACCCTGCCTGGCTGAGCGGGAGCGGGGCTAACCGCGCCCCGCGCGCTCTGGAGGTGCGGGGCTGACCGCAACCTCCGAGCACCCTGCCTGGCTGCGCGGGAGCGGGGCTAACCGCGTCCCGCGCGCTCCGGAGGTGCGGGGCTGACCGCAACCTCCGAGCACTCACGCTCCGCTACCATGATTCGCTCTTTTGGGCTCGCTCGCACTTACCCGAAAGGGCTCGATCCAGAGGATTGCGGATCACCGCAGGCGGAAGCGCGGGAAGCGAAATCTGGCGGGGCATTCCTTCAGTCAGTGTCAGTACTTACGCAAGGCGGTCAGGAGGCATGCACTCAGAACATTTGTCCTTTTTGATGGTATTTTTAGGGTCGGAGGTGAGGGGGTGAGATCGAAGTGGAACGGAGAGCCCCCCTACCGGGAAATCGATTTCGGTTTCGTGTTCGTGCGTGCCGTGCGTGCGGGCGAGGCGAAGCTGCGTGGGCGGGCGAGAGAAAGTCTCCTGTGGCTGAGGCGCGGCCGGACCAAATGACTCCCTTCCGGGCGGCCCGGTGTCCCGCGGGCCCGCGCGGTGTCCCGCCGGTGTCCCGCGGTGTCCCGCGATGATGATGATGATGATGATGATGATGATGATGATGATGATGATGATGATGATGATGATGATGATGATGATGATGATGATGATGATGATGATGATGATGATGATGATGATGATGATGAGATGATGTTGATGATGATGATGTTGGATGATGATGATGATGATGATGATGATGATGATGATGATGATGATGAATGATGCTGATGATGATGATGATCATGATGATGAGATGGTGATTGATGATGATGATGGTGATGCTGTGATGATGATGATGATGATGATGATGATGAGGACGATGATGATGATGATGATGATGATGATGTGTCCCGATGATGATGATGATGATGATGATGATGATGATGATGTCGATAATGATGATGATGATGATGATGATGACGATGATGATGATGATGCTGATGGTGTCCCGATGATGAGGATGATGATGATCATGATGATGTTGATGATCATGATGATGACGATGATGGTGTCCCATGATGATGAGTAGATGATGTTGATGTTGATGATGCTGAGTTATGAATGTGTCCCGATGATGATGATGATGTTGATGATGATGAGGTTGATGATGATTATGGCGTCCCGATGATGATGATTATTATGATGGTGATGATGATGATGATGTTGATGATGATTGCGTCCCGATGGTGATGATGATGATGATGTTGATGCTGATGTTGGTAATGATGATGATGATGCCCCGATGATGACGATGATGATGATGCTGATGATGATGTTGATGATGATGATGCTGATGATGTCGATGATGAGGATGAGATGATGCTGATGGTGTCCCGATGATGATGATGATGATGATGATGATGATGATGATGATAACGATGGTGATTATGATGGTGTCCCGATGATGATGATGCTGCTGATGATGATGATGACGATGACTGTGTCCCGATGCTGCTGATGATGATTGTGATGATGGTGATGATGATGCTGATGATGGTGGTGTCCCGATGATGTTGATGACCGTGATGATGATGATGATGATGATGATGATGATGATGATGATGATGATGATGATGATGATGTTAGTGTTGATGATGAGGACGGTGTCCCGATTATGATGATGTTGGTGATGATGATGTTGATGTTGATGTTGTTGTTGATGATGATGATGATGATGATGATGATGATGACGGCGTTGATTGTGAGAGCGGTTGTGATATCGATAGTGAGATCGATAGTGAGACCGAATGTGATATCGATTGTGAGATCGATTGTGAGATCGATTGTGAGATCGATAGTCAGATCAATTGTGAGATAGATCGAGTGAGATCGATTGTGAGATCGATCGAGGGAGATCGATCGAGCGAGACCGATACTGAGATCGATAGTGAGATCGATAGTGAGACCGATCGAGTGAGACATTGGTTCCCCCCCCCGAACCTCCTTATCACCCGAAGGGTGGTCGTATAGGTATTGTTTATTTTTCGTCGACAATCCCCCTGTCGGGGGACACGCCCGACTCAACATTAGAGGACCACGCGACTGCAAGAACATACGCTTTCGGAGGTGATCGTTTTCTTATCCGTAAGGGCCTCGCCCCCTGCCGCCGGCCCCCTCTATCAGAGTGGGATATCTCGGAGTCGCGTCGGTGCGTCTCGGCGATGCCTTGACGCATCTGGAAGCAGCATGCGGGGGCGGATAGAGATCATCAGCGCAGATTGAGACGTTGACGTTATCCGAGTGGCCTTCGGCCCATCCCGCCACCGTGCCTGGGTTGTGGGTTTCGGCCTCTTGGAGGCCTCTTGGGCGCGTGTTGGGCGCCTCTTGGGGCCTCCTGGCGGCCTCTTGGGGCCTCCTGGGGGCTTCTCAGTGCACAAATATCAGATGTTCGGTTCGTGGTCCCCGCCGTTTTGGGACCCTTTTGGGCCGTCTTAATCGCTTCTTGGGCCATCTTGGAGCCCTCTTGGGCCCTCTTGGGGCCCTGCCTCGTGGAGGCGTCCTGGGCTGTTTGGGGGCGGTCTTGGCAGCTTCTTGAGCCGTCTTGGAGCGTCGGAAATCCGAAAATGCGAGAAGGCCAAAATCCTGCAAACAACTTCGTAAAATCCCAGATTGGGGCGTATTGGGGCTCTCTCGAAAGGCCTCTTGGAGCGCTCTTGGAGTCTGTTTCGGCCCTCTTGGGCCGTCTTGGAACCATCTTCAGGCGCTTTGGAGCGCTCTTGGCTTCGGCAATCTCAGTGTGGCTTAATTTGCTAAGGTTTATGGCTTCGGGGACGCGAATATTGTGTCATTTGCTGGGGTGCGTTGCCTCAGCGACGCAGCAATGGTATACTTTCCGAGGGCTTGTGGCCTCGGGGACGCGAGCATGGCGCAATTTACGGCGGAGTATGGCCTCGGGGGCGCGAATCTCAAGTATTCTTGCGTGTCCCCCGCCCCCTCGGGAATTCCGAGCACACGATTCCGGGCGTGGTAACTCCCCCCTTCGCGCGGACGTAAACAATTTACAATAGGGAACAGAAGGCAGGACTGCAACAATAGGGAATTGAAATTTACAATTAACAATTTACAATCGGACTGTAACATTGGAGGCTTGAAGCTGCAACTGGTGCGGGGAGCAGCGCACTTCGTTCTGCAGCCTGGTGGCCCCACGAGGGGGCCGGCGGAGTCACTGTTTTGCCGATCGGCGCGGGCCCTCGTGCCCCCTCCCCCCCCATGGAGCAGGTCCTGGCTGTTTTGGTGCCCGTCTCCCCCACAGGCCGCACTGCTGCAAACAGTCGCATCAAGCGGAGGTCAAGAGCCATATCCCTCCCCCCCTCCCCCCCTTCCGCACAAGGAAGGGGGAGGAGGAGGCAGAGGAGGAGGAGGAGGCGGAGGAGTAAGAGTAAGAGTAAGAGTAAGAGTAAGAGTCAGAGGAGGAGTATGAGGAGGAGTAAGAGGAGGAGTAAGAGGAGGAGTCCGAGGAGGACGAGGAGGAGTAAGAGGAGGAGTAAGAGGAGGAGGAGGAGGAGGAGGAGGAGGAGTAAGAGGAGGAGGAGGAGGAGGGCGGAGGAGGAGGAGGAGGAAGTGTCGTGACGCCGAGGAAGAAAACGCTTGCGAGGTCCGCGGCCGATGTCGTCGGTCGGCGCGGGGCCCCCTCCCCCCGCACTCCCGCCCCAGGGGAGGGCCGCGGGGAGGGGGGGGGGGGGCTCCGCCGCCCGCCGACCGGAGACATCCGCGCGGATCTCCGAAGGCAGGCTCAAGTCGGGCTCGTCCCTCTGCAGGAGGAATGTCGCAGGCCTAGAGGTTGACACCAACACCAATATCGGCGGTTTGCTTCCATCTGGGGAAGAAGATCCCGATCCCGGTGATGGTGGTAATATTCTGGCTTCCAAGGTAGCCGAAATATTACCACCGACACCGAAATCCAGGATCATCTTCCCCCTGTGGAGGCAACACCCTGTGTTGGTGTTGGTGCCCATTTCCAGGCCTCCTAGAATGCTCAAGCATCGTAGAGCATCGGAAGCTGGAGCACACTCATCACCAGTGGCGGGCTGTGTTTCAAAATCCCAGGACTTTTTGAGGATCGGGGGCGACGTCTGGGTGGTGTGGTGTCTACTTGTTCCCCGCTTTTCCCGGGGAAGCAGCGACACGTGTATACACCAGGATCCCGTTTACCACAGGATCCGCTTTCTTGTGCGAGTTTCAGTGCAGGGCCGGAAAAAGCGTCGGTGAATAGGGTTCGGTTCCTTATATTCAAGAATCGTAGAAGATAGTCTGGTGACGATGTTTCGTACTGTTTTGACTATTTTTGATTATTGCTTGTCAAAATCCCCCTGTAGGAGGGCGTGCCCGTCCTAAAGGTAAGTGCTCATGTCGTAATTTGGTCCTCTACCCATGCGACGAGACACTCCCTCGACTGCGGCGCTGCACCTGCAGTCGGAAACTTCTTCGGGGGGCCACGACGATGGTGCGAACGGTCCCTGTCCCAGGAGTGTTCTGCGTTTGCGATGGGCGGTGCAGGCCGCAAAACGTGCGGAACCTGCAGCGTTTGAGGGAGAGATTAAGTGCACCACGCTGTTGAACATTCTGGCACAGCACGGCTCTATGTCCAAGGAACAGGTGGTACACCTTGCCCAAGGTCGATTGCATCTGACTAGTCCGGCTGACGCTTTTCGCATACATTGCTCAGATTTGGTTGCAGTCTCTGAGGCGATCTCCTCGCGAGCTGGACTGCCTCGCGGCCCAGACAGTCTCGCAGGTTCGAAACTCACAGCTGCGGGTGGAACTCATATGTCTTCAGTTGAGGCGTTCATCGAGGATTGGGTAGAAAGCCAGTCCAGAGCAGGCGAAACCATTTCTCCAGGTCTGCTCAGAGCTGAGATACGAAAGCGCTTTGGTAGCGCAAGAAGTAACAAGAGGATCACGAAACAGTTCGAGCGGCTTGGCTTAGAGCAGATCGGTGGTCACTGGAGGATGGCCGAGCAAGCCGCCTCCAAGCGTCGAAAAACCTTGCAGGGTCATAGCGCGACAGTCAAGGACGAGGAGGAGGAGGAGGATGTACAGGATCAGGATGATTTATCAGCAGAGGAAGCAGAGGCAGACTTGCAATACCCCTGGACTGAAGTTGATGGTGACGACGGTATCTATTTTTTCAACCAAGAAACTGGAGAGAGTCAATTTGAGTTACCTCTGTAGAATGCCGCTTCAAGTGATTTGTTGTTCGCCGCGCTTCTTGTCGTAGAGAGGTGGCGCCCACTGAGATGCGCCCGTGTATTGCCACGGTTGCAAGTGCAAGCCTGTCGTTCGAGGGCTGCGAGCTCGAGAAAAAAAGTGGAAGTGCTGCCCCGCTTGGGAGATCCCAGGTGCAACTAGAAGAAGTTGGCGTGCTTGTCTCGCTGCACGCCGAAACAACATACCACAGCATTGCCAATTAAACGCGGGCAGCTATGAGGCCCGCAAAAAGCGGGTGTCATAGTGGGTGCCTAGGTGATGCCATCCCATCATCAGAGTGTGGGGGCCGAACGGTCTAACATTGTCCCTGGGTGCGTCGCTGAAGTTGGGTTCCAGGTCGCGGATTCATGTTTTTGCTCTTGTTGTTGCCAGCCCCGCCCCGCGCACGACCCACCCGCGACCCGCGTGCGACCTACCCCGCGACCCATCCGCGACCTGCCAATGTTGTATAAATAGGCCCGCCGCACGCGCTGGACTTCATTTCACATAACGAGCCTCGTGAACCGCCGGCGGCTCCTGCCTCCTCACTCTTATTCGCAACTGCCGGGGCTATGGTAGTCTATTTGATCGAGGGTTGCTGAAACCAAACCTAGTTGAACTACACCATTGTACGCGCAGGTGGTGCCAGATAGGCCAGGCAATCCGTGGCTGGCAATCAGGCAATGCTAGATGCAACGGGACGCGAGGTTTAGCGGGCGATGAGTCGAGATGTGTGAGGACGCGCAGGGAAACGACGCTGGTGGGATCAGCAGAGCTCTTGAGACCATGCGATGAGCATGGTGCATTTCCGGCGATGTAGATTGCAGCCATTTGGGCTAAAGCACCATTTGGCTCGCGAGCGAGTTCTGCTATCACGTTGCTTAATCGGGGTACCTCGCCTGTCCCCAAAATTAGTGTCTTCTCTTGTGCCCACCGCGGGCTCGATGCGGCCTCGACGCAGATTTGGCGTGCACTCGACACTGATTACGCATGGATTCGACACGGGTCCGACGAGGTCGGCATGGATTCGACACGGATTCGACGCGGACAGGGCCGCGACGGGACAGACAAGGTCCCCCGAGGATGCAACAGAAGACATGGGGGCTGAGGTGGCCATCATTGGTTCCGGCCAGAAGCTTGGCATCGCTCGGACGTGTGCATTTTTCCTTCGGCGAGGACCATCGAGGAGCATCCTTCATCATTTGGCGAAAAAGCCAGGCACGAAACGGAAAAAAAAAAACAAGGAATGGACGTCCGAGCGATGGCCAGGAAGGAAGGGAGGGAGAGCTTCGAGGATTTGGGTTGGATAGCAGGTATTCTGCCCTTGCCGGCCTGGGGGGGCCGTGTTCGGGCCGCTGACCGTCAAGAACGGACCCAGGTCCGAGGCGGGACTTTATGCACGACGCCACCGCCTAGAGGATCAATTTCCGGGGACCTCGGCAGGCGGCGGAGAGGGGTACGTTCGGGCCCCTGTGGGCCAAACTATATCCACATCCACCGCCCGCCGGGGCACCGGGGCGTCGGTTCCCAGGCGGTGGATACGGATAATCCCCGCCTCGCGACAGGGCCCCCGAGGATGCAACGTACAGTGGAGACCCATGCCAAGAAACACCCTGATTGCCTCCAGGGTGCCCTGGGTTTCTCGGGTTGCGAGGGCTTTGCGATGAAAAGCGTGACGTCCCCACTCCCAAAACCGATGGACGTCCTGGGGCCTCAGGGTTGGGCTTCTTGTGGAAGGTTTTGGTGGACTGGCCTCCACAGCAACTGCTGCCGCGAGCGCGGAGCAGCCCCCCCCCCGGGCCCGCGCCGGCAGGGCGCGCGCCCAGCCTTAAGTTGGGCCTGTCCCTCTGCAGGGGGAAGATTCAAAAAGAGTCCAAAACTAGTCTGGGGACTATTTTTCGGCGTATTCTGGGGCATCTTTTGAGCATTCTTTGCGTATTTTTCATTTTTCGTCCGAAGTCCCCCGACCTAAGCCCAGCCCCCCCCCCGCCTGCGGCCCCGTGGCTGGCCGCCCTCGGCCCGATCCCCTGCGGGCGGGAAGGGCTCCTCGACCCCCCCTGGGCGCGGAGCTGCCTCGGCTCCGCGTGGGGAGTCGAGGACCCCCCCCCCGCGGGGCTGCCTCGACCTCCCTCCCCCTCCCCCTCCCCCTCCTCCCCTCCTCCTCCTCCTCCTCCTCCTCCTCCTCCTCCTCCCTCCTCCTCCTCCTCCTCCTCCTCCTCCTCCACCTCCTCCTCCTCCCTCCTCCTCCTCCTCCTCCCCCTCCTCTCCCCCCCTCCTCCTCCCCCCCCTCTCCTTCGCCCCCCCCCTGGGCGCGGAGCCACCCCGGCTCCGCGGGCGGACGCGCCCCGCCGGCCTCTCCGATGCCGGCGCCGGGCGTCGGGGACGGCGTCGGGCGCCTGGGCTCTCGGGCGCTGCTGGAGAAGCACCCCTGGCCCAGGGTGTGCCCCCCAGGATTTTCGGGGTGGCCCATGGACGGCCACCCCGAGAGTCCTGGCAGAATTGGCCAGGGGCGCTTCTGGCGGCACCCGAGACTCGAGGAAGAGAACACGGCATAAGCAGAAATGTCCGACGGTCCGCGCGGATTTCTGGGCTCGGCGCCTGGGCGCCCCTGGCGGCGCCGCCGGCGCCGTCCGGCGCGCGGAGCGCGCCGGTGAGGGGGGCCCAGCGCGGGTACGAGGAATCCGCGCGGACCTCCCAAAGTTTCTGTTTCTGCCGCTCTGTTCTTCCTCCATGAGTCTCGTCCTTCTGGGTTTGCTGGGCGCTTCCTTCGACAAGGCGTGCCCGAGGACAGCCCCCTCCACCGCGTCTTCGCCCCGAGAGAGCGCGCGGCGCGTCTGCGCCGGCGCTGGGCGACGTCAGCGGCGCCGGGCACCCAGGCCCGGTCTTCTGGCGGCGCGGCCGGTCGGGGCGAAGGCTCCGGGGCAGCAGAACGGCTCCTTCGCCAAGACGGTTTCCAGGACAGGCCTTTTCCGCGGCGTGGCCGCCCCGGAGGAGGGCCAGTCTGCGCCGGCACTGGGCGCGACGTGAGCGGCGACGGGCACCTGGACCTCGCCCTTGGCGTCGGCGGCGGCGGCCTGGACATCCGCCCAGGGTTGCAGGACGGCTCATGCGCCAAAACGCGCCCCGAGGACAATCCCTTCCGCAACGTCTTCGCCCCAGTAGGGCAGCGGTCTGCGCCGGCGCTGGGCGACGCGAATGGCGACTGGCACAAGGACCTCGTCCTTGGCGGCGGTGGCGGCGGCCTAGACGTCTACCTGGGAGGGCAGGGCGGCTCCTTCGTCAAGGCGGGCCCCGAGGACAATCTTTTCCGTGGCGTCTTCGCCCCAGGAGCGCGGGTCTGCGCCAGCGCTGGGAGACGCGAGCGCCGACGGGCACCTGGGCCTCGTCATTGACGGCGACGTCGGCACTGGCGTCGCCCCTGCCTGCGGTCGGGGGAGCAATCTGGACGTGTACGCGGGGCAGCAGGGCGGCTCCTTCGACAGGGCGCCCCCCCAGGACAACCCCTTCACCGGCGTCGCCGGCCCAGGAGAGTGGCTCTACGTTGACCGCGACTGGCTGACCGTGCCAATGCCGGCACTGGGCGACGTTAAAGGCGACGGGCGTCTTGACCTCGTACTTGGCGATCAAGATGGGGGCCTGGACGTCTACCTGGGGCTGCAGGACGGCTCCTTCGCCAAGATGGGCCCTGATAACAATCCCTTCGCGGCGTTCTCGCCCGGGAAGGGATCTTGTGTCCGCGCCGGCGCTGGGCGACGCGAACGGCGCCAGGCGCCTGCACCTTGTCCTTGGCGGCGGCGGCGGCGGCCTGGACGTCCGCCTGAGACGGCAAGACGGCCCCTTCGACAATGGCGGGCCTGAGTGGGGCCTGTCTATGCTGGCACTGGGCGACGTGAGCGGCGACGGGCGCCTGGACCTCGCCCTTGGCGGTCAGGATGGTAGCTCGGACTTTCAGTAGCGGCCGCTGCACTTCATGCAGCTACAACGTCGCGTGCGGGTCGAGATGGCGTTGCCTATGCTACGCGGAGCGTGGCTTGAGCGATTGCAGCGGGTGCTCCTCTGGATTATTCGGACCACGATGTGAAGCGCGCCTGGGCATCAAGGACAGCATTAGGACTGCATCTGCAGGACGTTTGCAACGGGATGGGCTCCTGCAGCGGTTTCGATTCCGCGCATGCTCGCAGCGACGCAGCAGACTATCTGTCCCACAGAGACGGGGGCTTGCACGTGCAAAACAGATCGCCAGCAAGAGCGGGGACTGACGTTCGGAGGAAAAGGTTGTCAATATCAACCCGATGGAGTTCCTGGACAGCGTCGGCAAGTCGAAGGTCGTCCACCCCAAGGAGGACGGCGACGAGGACCCCATGCCTGGGCCGACGCCCAGCCCAACGGCAAGCCCGACGGTCAGCCCTATGCCCAGCCCGACGCCCAGCCCGACGCCCAGCCCGACGCCCAGCCCGTCGCCCAGGCCGACGCCCAGCCCGACGCCCAGCCTGGCTACAGGTAAATCTGGCTTGGTGGTGGTAGGATTTTACCGCGTCCTTGAGTTTGCGCCTCACCCAGCCCAGGCACGCAGGAATGCCGATGCTGGGTGGCGATTGCGGGGCAGAAGGCGTTGCGATGACGACTGGGCATTGGGCGGGGGGTGCCAGCGCCGACGACGCGAGTAACGCAGTTGGCGGCCACGCAGAGTTCAGCCGCGCGTGGGCGCCCTTCTCCCAGGGAGGCGGTAGGCGCTGCAACTAGCAATTATCCCCAGCTCGCGTGGCTTGCCCTACTTCGCTTTCTTGAAGTCCGCACCCTCCCACAGGCAAAACACCGCTTGATGTCTTCGCCCTCTCGCGCGCATCCCCGCCCCCCAGTCACCCTCGACTCAATCCACCCGTTCCCGCTTCCGATCTCCACCTAGCTCGGCCCAGCTCTCATCTGCCACGCACTCCTGACCACTCCTCTACACTCCGCCCCTCCCAGGTCCATTCCCCGCACGTTTCGCGCCCCTCCCTCCTCCACCTCGCGATTGTTGACGCTTCGCGTATTGCCGCCAGCGTTGGCATAGTCAAGCGCGGCACAGTCAGCACAGCCAGGGTTGGCATAGTCGGCAGGGCCGCGGATTTGACTGCGCCACCACGGTCTGGGCAGCCCGCCGCGCGAGACAGCGCGCGGCTCGTCAGCGAGCAGAACAAGATCCGTCTGGACCAAGATGGGGCGCTTCGGCGGCCCCGCCCGCAAAAGACCCTACCACAGACTGCGCGCCCGTGGTCGTCGCTTTTCTGTGTCAGCATGGTCTTGGGATGTATGCGTCGTGCTTCGCTAAGCATGGTTTTGAGCGCGTGGCTGAGGTGCGGCTTATGAGAGATCGACACATGCGCGACATCGGCTTACGACCTGGTCATTGCATGCGTCTTGCTATCGCTCCGGGCCACCAGGCTGCAACTGAACAGGGAACATGAGTCGACAGTCTCTTGGGGCCGCCTGGCTTGCGCGGCTGTCCAACAAAGCTGCCCGGCGGCGTGACAGCGACGCAGAACCGGCGCGCCGACGGGTGGTCTGGCGCCCCGCCTACCCAGGGCGTTTCCCCTGAGACTGACTCTTCTCCTCCCTCCCTGCCTATGATTCCTCGAGATGCGACGGTTAGTCGCCCGCGCCGGGAAGGCTGCGAAATGGGTCGCCTCCACCGGGAGGAGCGCGAAGATAGTCGCGAATCGCAGGAGGAGGAGCAGGAAGACGTCGGGGAGGACAATGCCGACCGCCCAACACAACCCACTGGCAACGCGACCTCCTGGCACACCCAACCGCCTCGGATTCCAACGGGCTCTGCGACGGTCAGTCGCCGCCACCGGGAAGAATGCGATGATAGTCGCGAGTCGCAGGGTGAGGGGCAGGGAGAAGACAAGGAGGACTTTGCCGACCGTCCCACACAACCCGCTGGCAACGCGACCACTGGGAACACCCAGCCGCCTCGGATTCCAACAAACTCTGCGATGGTCGTTCACGCGCGCCGGGAAAATTACGAAATGGGTCGCGAGCCACGGGAGAAGGGGCAGGGAGATGACAGAGAGGACCTTGCCGTCCGTCCAACACAACCCACTGGCAACGCGACCTCTGGGAACACCCAGCCGCCTCGGATTCCAATAGCCTCTGCGACGGTCAGTCGGTTCCACTGGGAAGAGTGCGAAGATAGCCGCGAGTCGCAGGGTGAGGGGCAGGGAGAAGACAGAGAGAACCTTGCTGACCGTCAAGAAATTCTGCGAGGGCTAGTCACCTGCGCCGGGGAGAGTGCGAAATGGGTCGCGAGCCGCAGGAGAAGGGGTAGGGAGAGGACAGAGAGGACCTTGCCGACCGTCCAACACAACCCACTGGCGACGCGACCCTTGGGAACACCCAGCCGCTTCGGACCCCAACGGACTCTGCGACGGTCAGTCGCCTCCGCTGGGAAGAGTGCGAATATCGTCGCGAGTCGCCGGAGGAAGGGGGGCCCACCGCTGGGGAGGAGACCATCGATGAGACCATCGAGGGAGCGGCGGAGGAGTCCCTGGAGGAGAAGTGCATGGACGACGAGAGCGAGAGCATCCCGGAGGACGACCTGGGCATTACGGTGGAAAGAGACAACGGGGCCTTGGAAGACGAGGCCGCGGTCCGGCGAATGGTGGGCAGAGGGCGATTCGCCGCCCCTCCTCCCCGCGTCCACCAGGGGCCCCCGCGCCTGAGCACGCGACCGGCCCGCTGCAGGCCCCGCCCGCTGCGCACGCGGACGCGCCGTCTCGGCGGTCGGGCTTTGCCCGCGAGATCCTCCCTGCACTGGCGTCGCCTTCGACGGACCGTGCGGGGCCACAGGGCGACGGGGGCCCCCGGCCGTCGCCCGCCGCTAACTCCTCCAGCCGATGGCGACCCAGTGTCCGAACTGCGCTGGCCCAGCTGCCCCCGCACGTGCCGATGCCCGTGGAGACGGGGCGGCCTGGGCGCATCGCTGACTACGCCCTCGCCCCCCGATGCGAACGGGTCTCGTACGAGCGCAGAGCTGGGCGCGGGCCGAGCAGCGGAGCAGTAGTCGCCTCACGAGTCCGCCTCGGGGGCCGGGGCGCTCGCGGACGACCCGCTGGCCCTCGCGGAGCGGGTCAAGGCGCGGCAAAGGGCGGGGGGGGGACGCCAGCGGCATGACTTCTGTCGCGCCAACAGGGCGATGGGGGGCCCTGGCACCCACGATCCCGCGCGCCACGAGCCTGACGTCCTCCGCCGGTTCCTAGCGCTCACGGGGAAACACCCAGACAGCCACGACCATGTCGAATTGGCCCTCACCACGATGAGCCGCCGTTCTCTAATCGAGCGAGTTCGGGGCGTCCTTCGCTCGTCCCCGGATAGCCTTGCACAGTGGGAGTGGCGCACTATCGATTACGAGAAGCCTGGCAAAGGCAGAGCCCAGCCCTGCATTGCACCCATGCACGTCATCGTCGCTTTCATGCGTGCTCGCGCCGGGCACGAGAGGACGTCGGTCTACGTTCCCGTGGGCGCGGCAGCGCCCTGGGGCTCCCACCTACGCTGAGCCGCTCCACTTTAGGCCTGGAGTGCCTACCGCGGCCCTGGGAGCCAGCCAGGCGTGCTGCCCTCCCCACGCCGGGAAGTCCTTCGCCGCCTTGTGGCTGTGCCTCTTGGAGGGGGAAAGTGGGTGTCGGCCGCAGGGCCCTGCAATGGTGTCTTTATGGGCCCTGAATGGGCGATGCATCCTCGATTGCTATCTTCGGCGGGGGTGCCAATTGAAGCCCCCCGCCTGCGCCCGCGCGCGAGACTTGAGGGGGGGCGGAGCAAGGGGGCGGGGGGCCCGGGAAAGGCGACGAAGGCAGCGCGCGCTGAGGGCGCAAAAAGACAAGGTTGAAACAAACGAAAGCGTTGACGTGAGTGTCAAAATCTGCCCAGCCAATCTGACATGCGGAACGCTGCGCCTCAGTTCTGGGGATCTTGAAGCCAGGGCAAAATGTGAATTCACATTGTCGGGACAAGCAAAATCTGAATTCACATTTTGGGAAAAAGGAACACGTGAATTCACACTTTGGGAAAAAGGAACATGTGAATTCACATTTGGGAATGTTGTGTATGAATCTTCATGAAGGGGCCAGAATGTGAATTCACATGTTGGGAAAAACGAAACTGTGAATTCACATTTTGTGAAAAAGGAACATGTGAATTCACATCTTGGGAGGATCGCGGGACCCATGCCAAATCTGTCTTGGGGGTCGATAGCTCGTCGTTTGGGAACATGCGCGATCATCAACCGCACTATCAAGACATACTTGCACTCCACTTCGCAGCCCCGCGCGCAGCATGCAAGAGCGCCCGCGCGCACGAACGATAATGGATGGGCGGCGCGTGTCCCCGCGCGGGCAACGCGCGGGCACGAACGACTGGCCCTCCATGACTGCCAACATTGGATGCCAAACATTCCCGATCACATACATGAGCGATACAATTAAACATACATGGGCCAGTCAGCCCCCATTGAAGACCCCCTGTTGCAGACCCCCTCTTTCACCCTCCAAGCCTTCTTGCGCCGGGCTGGCGAGTGCGGGTGTCACGTGCAATTTGGCATGGGCTATGCGTGCTTGGATTTCCCCAAGGGTTCAGTGATCACTTGCCATCTCCCCCTCCCCTCGGCGCCTGGTGTGCGACCGTTTCCTCACTGTCCCCGGGGAAAGGTGGTTCTTTTTATCTCCACTCTAGGTCTGGCGTGCCTACCGCAGCCCTGGGGGCCAGCCCGGCGCGCTGCCCCCCCCGCGCCGGGAAGTCCTCGCCGCCTTGCGGCTGTGCCCTCGTCCACCAGGCTTTGGTGGGATGGATGGCGCGTACAACTGGTTATGGGAAGTGGCGCGTACCATGGAGTCGACGGCCCACCGCGGCAGGCTGCCTCCATCTCCCCTTCCTGTTTTTTTTTTTTCCAAGGCTGCGACGGCCAGTCGCTCTTCTCCTCCTGCGGCCCCTGCATCCGCTTGCCAGCACCGCGGAGACAAGCAGCTCGGCGACGACTACAAGTGGGGCGAGCAGCGCTACGCTGACGAGCACAATAAGGCCCAACACCCCTGGCCCAAGCACTTCGGGGCCGCGCTGCGCGTCGCCGACCGTCGCCGCCGCGACATACGGCACGGCAGCGAGCAACAATGAGACTAGTAGCGCGACGTTGATAGGCACCACGGGCTCCAGCACAACGGACTCGATGGGGCACGTCGCTGACCAGCACCACCGCGACATGCAGCGCGGCAGCGATCACCAGAGAGTCGTGCAGCGCGGCTTTGCTGAGCACACCAGGGTCCAGTTGCGTGGGCTCCAGCTCAACGGGATCGAGCAGCACGTCGCCAACCAGCGCCACTGGGACCAGCAGCACGGCAACGTGGCCTGGCTTTCTCACCTCAGCTACCTGGGGCGCCCCGGCGCACAGGGTACATAGTCGATAAGAGCGCGTTGCTTTCCACGGGAGTTTCGTTGGCACAGTCAGGGTTGGCATAGCCAGGGTTGGCACAGTCGTGGTTGGCATAATCAGCGCGGTCGGAGATGGCACAGCCACGATTGGCATAGTCATCAACAACTGCTCGAGTAAATTTCCACCGTTCTCTTCCTCTCTTCTCCCACCGTGTGCCGTGTGCCTGGCGCGCGCTTCCTTTCCTCCCCTCCTGCATCCTAATGCTGCAGCGGTTAGCTGCCGCACCGGGGTGCCTACCGTGCCTGGTGTGCGCTTCCCCTCCTCTCCTCCTGGTGCCGCGACCCCAGGGAACACCCAGCCGCCTCGGATTCCAACAGACCCTGCGACGGCCAGTCGCCTCCACTGGGAAGAGTGTGACAATAGTCGCGAGTCGCAGGAGGAAGGGGGCCCCCCCGCTGGGGAGGAGCTTAGTTGGCGCAGTCTGGGTTGGCATAGCCAGGGTTGGCACAGTCATGTTCGGCATAGTCAGCGCGGTGGGAAATGGCGGAGCCACGATTGGCATAGCCAGCGACAACTGCTCGAGCGGATGTTCTACCATTCTCCTTCTCTCCTCTCGCACGTGGCAACGCGACCTCTGAGAACGCCCAGCCGCCTCGGTTTCAATGGCCTCTGCGACGGTCCGTCGCTTCCACCGGGAAGAGTGCGAAGATAGCCGCGAGTCGCAGGGTGAGGGGCAGGGACACGACAGAGAGAACCTTGCTGACCGCCCAACGCAACCCACTGGCAACGCGACCCCTGGGAACACCCAGCTGCCTCGGATTCCAAGGGCTTCTGCGAGGGTAGGTCACCTGCGCCGGGGAGTGCGAAATGGGTCGCGAGCCGCAGGAGAAGGGGCAGGGAGACGACAGAGAGGACCTTGCCGACCGTCGAACACAAACCACTGGCGACACGACCCCTGGGAACACCCAGCCGCCTCGGATTCCAGCGGACTCTGCGACGGTCAGTCGCTTCCACTGGGAAGAATGTGAAGATAGTCGCGAGTCGCCGGAGGAAGGGGGGCCCCCCGCTGGGGAGGAGCTTAGTTAGCGCAGTCTGGGTTGGCATAGCCAGGGTTGGCACAGTCATGTTTGGCATGGTCAGCGCGGTCGGACATTGCACAGCCACGATTGGCACAGTCAGCAACAATTGCTCGAGTAAGTGTTCTACCATTATCCTCTTCTCCTCTCCCACCGTGTGCCTGGCGTGCACTTCCTTTCCTCCCCTCCTGCATCCTAATGCTGCAGCGGTTAGCTGCCGCACGGGGGTGCCTACCGTGCCTGGCGTGTACTTCCCCTCCTCTCCTTTGTTTCACCGGGTTTATCCCATGCGGCTGGGGTTGCCGCCAATACCGCTGCGTGATGGTGCTCTGACAGCCTGAATTCCATGCAAGGTTCGCACTGGGAATGGGTGGTCAGGTGGCCCCTGGCCTGCTCCTCGCTGGCGTCGGCCTCCACTGGCGACCGATAGGGTTCAGCGGGGTCTCGCTACGAATTCCATGCAAGCATCACACTGGGAATGGGCGGTCAGGTGGCCCCTGGCCTGCTCTTGGCTGGTGTTGGCCTCCACTGGTGACCGGAAGGGTTCAGTGGGGTCTCGCTACGCTGCCGACCTCCACGGTGCAAGGACTTCGGCATGTTTGGCACTGTGCGCCCGTCGGCTGCTTTCTCCTGTAAGGACTCCGTTTTCGACATGTGCCACTGCTGTACAAACAAGAGGCACTGCCGTTTGCAGTCCTATTTGTGACGAGGTTGCCCCTCTTCATTCTTGCGCTGACACGATGTTTCGCTGACGCGATGCATTTGTGTCGCCTACGGCACGGACGTCGTCTGGGT